TCTGAACCTGTCTACAGTATATATATGTATATGTATTTGCTAGATAAAAAGTTAATAGTCATTACTAACTATGGAGGAGGAAGGAGATGATAAAGCTGAAACACCAAGTGTTTCTCCTAGTGACATGAAAAACAATGAGCAATAAGGTCCATGCTGCCTGCTGATTACAAAAGTAATAGTTTCTATGTAGCTTTTAATGTAAAGGATTTCTTTAGTGCATAGAAACTCTAGACTGCAAAAAATAATGGCTAGACCAACAAGGTATAGCTAGAGACAATTTGAAGTGAGGTTTCTGATTAAATTAGATGGATGTGCTATTCACTATCTCTGATTTTTTTTTTAATATGATTTTCAGCTTGTTCACATACAAAGGCTACTCAGTAAATTAAGTGGACAAATTAAAAACTACTGTCCTTTGATTTGGGGCTATTCTAAAGTTGTGGTAATGTTATTTTTTAGCCAAAGAAAGCTCATGATGTATGTTTAGCACATTCCAGCTCATTGCATTTGTTATTTTAATGCTATTAAAACAAGGTGGCYGTAGGTATGTATCAGATAACTCTTTTCATGGATCTGGTTCTGCAAAAAAAGGAGGTAAAAGGAATTTTCCTCAGCTGCCCTGAGCTCAGGTCTCTCAGCTATACTGCAATTTTCCTTCAGTTGCTTAGATAATGAATGTCATGGGTGTAAAGGGTGCAAAGAGCCCTTGCAACTCACATAAGGTGTTTTCCAGAAATCTGAACAAACACTTGATCGAACAAGCACTGTTGCAATTAATAGCAGACTTGTCAAGACAGCAAAAACCATAGAGGGCTCTGTGAGAAGCTCTGAGTTTCCTATGAACTCCAGATCTGAATATATGTTTAGATACCCCCAATTCTTCTTACATATTGTTATTTTTATTATGTTTTGGAGTCCTATCAACAGCTTTGGGCTTTCCATTATAAATGTCATTTAAAAAAAGAATTCTGCTTTTTGCATCAAACTGTTTAACATCTTCATACAAGTCAAGAGCCAGGAAGAAGAGAAGAGATCAGCTGGTCCATCTGGTGCAGAGGATCAGATTTTGAAAAAAGATCAAAATTTTCTCGGGGTGGAAAACTATTTATTCCAATTTTGCCTGAGAAGTTTTCTGTTTATTAATTCTAATTAACATAATAATGTACATCTCTTGACAGTTCCAACTGAAAATTAAGCCATGAAACACAGAGCCTGCGGTGCATATAGGGTATATAGTTAAGGACACCTTCTAAAAATAAATATTGTATTGGGGAATTGTGGACAAAATCTTGAAGGGTGAGCTTTACCTGTCCTTTCTGTCAAGGATGAAAATACACATTGGCAAGACTTCAAAGACTGCCTCTTGTTTTGTTTTTGCATGACCTAACTCTGAACATCTAGAATACTTCAGAAATAGCAATAAATAACATAATTTTTACCCCAGGTGAAGCAAGCCTATGTACACTGAAAATAATACGGAAACTTATCAGAAATGACCATGATTTGACCTTAAAGTGAAATAACTAAAAACCAAAATTAATGTATAACAAACCACAGTTCCTCAACAGAAATCTCTCATGAAACAAGACTTACTAAGKCTTCCAGTGAGGTGGATGGGAAAGGAACTTCAGGTCTCCAATTAATGACACTAAAAAAATAAAGGAGCAAATAGTTACTAGTGTGCAGAATATACTAGGTAAGGAAAAAGCAAAGTCACTGCTAAATAAAGATAATCATTTTTCATAATAAAATGCAACCATGTGGGTCAAAATGAAAAGACAAATTTTGTTTTGAATGTTGCACAACTTGAGTCTTGAGTCTTGAGTCTTAGTAGCTGGACTGCATATGCACTGGCTGTCACCATTCTTTAAATAAAAGCAATTGGAATTGGCATTTTTTGTAAAAGACAAAATTATTCTTTTTGGTCATGTACCTAAAAAGGGAGAGGTATGTGACTGTCTTCATTGGTACAAATGCCTCTGTGCCAGCAAACTAAACAAAGCCAGTTGCCAAATCGATATTTACTGTTTCATTTTTAGCATGCTCCACTGGCTGTGTTTGGTTTGCATCAACTGGCACTGTCCAAGGAATGCCTTGACATGCTCCAAATGAAAGATTACTCCTGAGGGTTTGCAGGAGTAAAGCAAAGCCATTTCATGTGAAGGAAGATCTACATCTGTTTCTACGATGCCTAACACATGTTGCCCAGAACCTGACAGTATCCCTCCAGATCACACTTGTGAGTGAGATAGACCAGCATCATAGTCTAGGTCCAGACATCAAGGTCCTGCTTTCTCACAGTTTAGCTTCTAGATTCTTGTAGCACTGTCTCAGCACTTCAGGGGGATGCAGACAGGACAGTAAGAAAGGCCTGATGTAGCAGCAAAGTGGATGAGATGCAGCAGTGACCATTTTGGTCAATCTAGTTTGCATCTAGTTGCAATCTAGTTTTCATGCCAGCAATACATCAGTTAAACCAGCACAATAAAGGTAGGAAAGCTGAAAGATTGTGTCAGGTTTCTTAACAGGGAAATCTAAAGCTGGTGAAATCTATGTGGTTCTCATTTTCTAATCATTTCTTACTGCAGTCTCTCTTCAAAGATTCATATGAAGATCCCAGATGTTCTCAAAGACAAAGCAGTCTATTGTCCTCTCCATCTTAGTTCTGTGGAGAGAGGGGAGTGAACATGAGAAGAGATGCTGAATGCTCTGAATGAACGAGTGTTTGTCCTTCTCTGTATCTGTGTATATCTATATTGTTTTTCTTTTTAACAATATTAATGACCTTTTCTGATAGCCAAGATATGGAAAATTTAGAAGAGAAGCACCATCAGCAATCCTTTTGTCAGACTTGATGTCTACAATAAGGAAAACTTCTACCATACCTAACAGATATTAGTCTAACCTGTCCCAAGTGCAGAGGTGCTACAGCCTTCATCACACTCATAAATTTTCCTTGTGGCAAGGATATCCAAGTGTCTCACCTAAATCTCTCCTGTTATTTCTCGAGATAGAGAACAGTGCATTGCTTTTCTCTTTTCAGCATTTTTTTACTGTCTGAGTGGTGACTTTTAATAGTCTATGTTACTGGTGCACAGTGTTTTGACAGGTGGAAAAAGGTGGGCAAGTATTTTATTTCTGCGCTAGGCGAAGTCCAGATACTATATCCCTTCAGTGGTTTCCATAAGGGGCCTATAATACCCACTGAGTAAATCTGGTACTCCCCAGGAATACAATCACCTTCCTGCTTGGGTGTAGCCATGACATTCAGCAATCTGCTACTGCTGATGGAAGACAAGAGAGGTCTAGCAGCTCTGTTGCTCCCATGGAGGAAATTCCTATGACTACTGCCCATTGCTGAGGTGTTCCCTCTGCACAATAAGTGACTGTTCTCACTGGCCGTGTGTTGAACCTCCCCGAGCTGTGTGGCACTCCTGTAATATGGGAAATGACTCCTGTTAATTACTGAAGCACATTTTTATGGTCTTGCAAATCTTAGGGTTTCAGCTGCTTAAACACAAGGACTTTGGTATGAGGTTGGCTGGTGTGAGATATGGCTGTCTGGAAAGGTAGCCAGCAGTCACCTGCCAGCTTATAAAATAACCAATATTTAGGCAACTGATTCTTGTCCCAGGAGTTACAACATTCGAGGTTCAATTCATCTGCTGCTGCATATATGTCTAGCATCATTTGAGATGCTCTAGGTTCTCCTGTCTAGCTTCTACATGCAGCTCCAGAACAATGTAAGGTTGCTTGTAAATTGTACATCATAACTCCAGATCCATCCTGAGCATATCCTGGGTATCTTATGATATGTCAAATGAATTGAACACTTACCATCACGTAACTGAAATGAGGCCAAGAGATGACATTTAGTTTCAGATGTTTCAGATTCTTCAGTTTAGGTTCCTTCATGTGGTTTAGATAACTTCCATCACAGTCAGCTGAATTCTGTGGAAATTTTCATCTGCTTAAACACAAAAGATACCATTGTAATTGCTTTTGTGTTACCCACCTGTCCTCCACCTGTCACTCACTCACTCATAAGGACATGTGTCTCACATGATCCTTTGTTATATATGCAAGACCTATGCCTATGTCTTGGATATCCTAAGTTGCCAATGATATTAGACATTATTTTTTAAGCAAAATGTCTCTCACCTGTCCCTCACCTACAGTCAACAGAGTCAAAATAGACTACAGAGTTGCTGAGCTGACCACATATAAATGTTGACACTAGGATGGCATCCATCACTGCAGACCTCTTGATCTGGATGCTAACAGAAGCTTAGATACCTCACTTGCATTTAGATGTCTAGATAAATTCCCTCTCACCTTCCAGTACAAATTATATGTCAGAATCAGCAGAAATCCTGTTTACTTTCCAGGGATAAAAATCCTAATTGCTTAGACTACTGCAGAGGAAAGAAATCCAGATAACGTGTTTCTGGTTTTGTTAGATGTTTCCTTAGTGAATTTCTAAAAGTGATCATAATACTTAACATCATTAAAAATTGGAGGTATGGCATGCACAAATGCAGCCACATGATCAAAAGCCACATGATCAAAAGCAAAACAAGAAACAAGCAAACAAAACAAACAAAACAAACAAAACAAACAAAACAAACAAAAGCAAACAAGAAACCACCTGGTGATATTGGAGCAAGAAGAGTTGTAATTATGGAGAAAATAATAAACAGAAAAGGGTCCAAAATTCATTTAAATTCACAGAGAGGAGGATATTTTTCACCTACATAATAGAAAAGTATTAACCAAGCTTTATGGTAATAAAATAAAATTCAGCTTGTGGTCAGGAGAAGAACCACAGAATATTTTTATTTCAGTAATTCATCCAGTATATGGAAATGCCATATTAAACAGATGGTCAGAGTACTGGCTTTAAGAGACTGGAATACTGAAGTTGGGCAGAAAGGGRAGAACACATGTAATATCTGTATTGTTTGCAATATTTCTGTGGTTTCAGGTTGCAGTGTACATCAGAACTTTCAATTAACCTTGATAGAGCAGGAGAATGGCAGTTGGAAAAGTAATTATTTTGTTTCAGTAAATGTCTCCATAGAATGGACCGCTAAACTATATGAGTCTTATAATAGGTTGTGAAAAGCTTTCCATAACAGCAGCAGGAGTGAAGTAAGCAAGCATGAACACAAAGCACAGTGATAATGCATATTAACTTCTCCTATGTAACTTTTCCAGTCTTTGGCCCTTGTCCATCCAATTAAAATATAATGTACAGAAGTAAACTTTCTGTGCTTACACACTGCATCTCTGTTTCTTTTTTCTATGATTGAATTTTTACCCAGGGAAGGATAGATCAGACTTACATGCTTCACAGAATCTGCTTGATATGAACTTTTTAAAGGTTTTAGTTTAATTCTGTGCACCTGGTATTGCTGTAGCTTCAAACAGCTTTATATTTCTGCTCTACCAGTTCTCCTATGACTTTACAAGGACTTAGCTAATAAATTCCACAGCACCAAGCACAGAAGCAATTGGAAGCTGCTTTCTAGTCCAGGTCTGCCCAGCTTTGTGTCTTTCCCTATATCCCACATCCCTAATGACTATATTCTCTCTCTGCACGGACATAAAACAGTCTATCATTTGTATTTGATTCCTTTTTTTWAAGATTATTAAGCTACATAGGCATATATTTTAAAGAGGTCAGATGGCTTGTTAACACAATATACATAATATTTGTATTTCCCAGAAAGCAGATTTGGAAGAACAAATTCTGAAAGACTTTAAAATAAGTACTTACACAGTTAAAGAGAAAAATAAAATGTAAACTATTCTTAATAAAGTCAATCTGCTTCACAAATATCCTAATATGAGGGAAAACTAGTCAGTGTTTTGCCGTGTGTCAGTTGTGTCAGTATCACCACTAAATCACAGCTATATTACTCTGCAACTCCTCTACTCAGAAGTAGCAGCAATTTGACATATGTCCTCTTCTGTAAGCAGATTTTCCTTTTTGTTTTTCTATAATATTCATTTAATACAGAAAAAAAGGATATATTACTCCAGTTCTCAAAGTAAAACCATATATATCTTCACAAAGGCTAAATTTATCTAAAAAACTTAGTCTTGGGCTACCATAACAGGGAAAAACTGTCTCCTTCAAGAATCAACTCACAGTTAGATTTCTTTCTTGCCCTTTTTGCCTTTCTACAACTAAAAGGAGCCTGAGAAGCCTAGAATTATTGAGCCAAATTTGGCTTTTGTTATCTCTAAAAATGGGGTTAGCATTCAGCTCATTGTCCTGCTCCTCTTTCTGTGCAATGAGGCTGAGGTGCACCTTCCTCCTGGCATATCTTTCCTCCCATTACACAGCAGTAATTGAGTCTGGTCTTTAGCTACACATAGTTTCCTTTTGTTAAAATAATTAGAACTAATGACAGAGGATGCAATCCATAGAACCACATGGTTTACTAGTTATTTCCGTCTGCTAAAAGACAACATAGATAATTAAGAGATTTAAACATACTATCTGATTGCAGCTTTGCAAAAACAGTGGAAAAAGGTATTTTTTTCCCTAGGAAACAAAGCCAGACTTTACTGYTTATGCTGTTAGAGATACTTTTAGATCTAAACATTCCTAAATTCATAATATACCCAGAAGTATACAAATACAATTGAGTTTTGAAGTATTGGAAAAGACATTGGGAATCATCTTGTCTAGCTCAAAACATCAATAGTTAAGCTATGGTTAATAGTGTATAATAAGTGTCAATAGTTAAGCTAGTCACTCTGGGCTCCATTTACAGTCTAAGGGGGAAAAATAAACACTTTTATAATATATTCATCTGATGTTTCAAGCATTTGTTTCAGACTGATTCAGACTTTCTAATAATGTCCAGTTCTCTCCACTGTCTATAGAGGAAGCTCGACCTAACTCTGTGATATGTGCATGTATGATAGGACTCAGATGAATCTTATCCTTGCTATCTGCAATATCATGTTTTTTTTTTTTTTTTTCTTTTACAAAAAATAATTCAATAATTCTTACTCTTTACTCTTTCTTTTTGGAAGAGCTTATCCTCTGTATACGTGATCATACAAATAAAAGAGCGGTCTAATCATTCCTGTTTGAGAAATCTCAGGACTGAGGACTCCCAGCAAATTGCCTCAGCATAGACATAAAATTTTAACTAGATGGATACATTTTAAACACGGGATGAGATTCGAACTGAGGAAGGGAATAGAATTAGTTGGAGGACATGAGCATTTGCAATAAAGATTAACAGATTTCCTTTAACATCCCATACCTGGGCTGCTCACTAGCCTTCTTTACTCAAAAAGTATGCCAAAAAAGCCCCACTCCCTATGATCTTTGCTGCATTTCTMTTAGAGGTTAACTTCTGTTAGTGGGGAGATAGTTCTAATGAACTTGCTTCCACAGCATGGGGGAAGAGATTGAAACTGCAGAAGTCCAGGAACATTGAACTGATTTCATTTCCGACTTTGCCACTTCTGCTTTTACACAATACACTATCACCTGAAGCAGAGTTCATAATTCATACTGAAAGAGATAAGCAGATCTTATGCTAGCTAGTTCATATGACCTAGTCTTCGTAATGATTTAAATGTATCAACATGAAATGCATTAGATCATCTTGAATTTGCCCATTGACACCTGTGCTATAGCAATTTAACATCTACCAGAATCCAAAGCAGCTATTACATAGCTGAACATATCCTTAGGCACTGCAGCTATTTCTCTGGATGTAACTGCCAGAGAAGTAGCTATATGTTTATGAAATTATTTCAAAAGAATAAGATTAAGGAACTTGTCAAATTATATTTAACATTGTCCAGAGAGGTTGTAGAGTCTCCATCCCTTGAGACGGTCAAAACCAAACTGGATACAGCTGTGAGCAACTTCGTCTAGTTGTCCATGCTTTCAACAGGGATACAGCCCTATGTGTAAGATCTTCAGAAAATCTTTCTAGCCTCACCAGTTCTGTAAATCTGTGAGTCTAAATATGTAGTCGACTTTTATTTTGACTTTATTGAGATAGCTGAGTTAGTTAAAGTATTTCATTTTTATGTGTGAATTATAAATTCCAAAACAGTGTCCTGGAAATATAAGCACATGTCCTGTTTTACACATAGAAATGAGCACTGTCATGACTTTGTTTGCAGGTCAAAGAACCTATGGTAATACCCATAGGTATCTAATTGATATGTGCAGCATCAAAAGTTCTGAACTGAACTGAAGCACACCATGTAAGTAGGTTTTATAAATCTTCTCATTTAGGGTAGGATTCCCGATTTTCCCAATGAGTTCATTATCTAAAAAACATGTCTAAAGTTTTCCTTCTTAATCAATCCAAGAAGCCAGACACTTCAGAAAGATGATTCAACCTATCTAAATATAGATTTTGAGAATACAAATTACAAACCTCCTACTAGAAGCTCCCTTTTTCTGTGGGCTATTGAATGAGCCTACACTATTCACTGCTAATCATTCTATTCAGTGATGTGTTGACAATCTTGAAAGGCTTTTGGGCAAACATTTCCTGAGTAATTCTGTGAATCAAGTACAAAATCAATCTTATGGACAATAAGACTGTCCATAAGATGGACAGAATGGCTTCTGTCTTATTAAATTTGCTTTCACAGTTTTAACAATGTTTTCTTTAGAAGAAGAATAGGTGAAGTTGATAATATATCATGTGAGAATTTCAACTTGTTTAAGTTTCTTCTAGCTACCATATTGAAGGATCAGCTAATCAACTGCTTATTATTCTAACTTCTTTTGCTTATATTCACATAGACTGAAAGGCTTACAGAGATCCCTAGAGCATATAATAGAGATGATTTAGAAAGACAACATAATCAGAAATGAATGCTATTTTCTCTCAAGGATATAGGTTTTCTGCTGAGTTTTAAGCTT